ACACGACTCTCTGGAAGAGCATGTGTTATGAATAGATTATCGTGTCTAAATAAAGTTTTACTACTACTTAGGACATGTATCTATACACTGAACCACCCCTAATCCACCAATCACCGCCCTCCACACTCACATGGATCAATTTGTTTACTTAAAGTTTAGTTTTGTTATATTCTTTTATACTCATATTATACATTTTTTTAATCAGCGCCCAGGAGAGATAGTATATGCCGAACTTGATGAGCTCAAAGTAAAGGAAGATGCTTCAAATTTGGTGCAAAATAATCTTCCACCGATACATCACAAGACTCAGTATGCAGATATCAACCACTGTGCAAGTACATGTCATACTGAGGAAGCTTACGAAACTATTTACTGCAATGTTGATTGAATCCCAGTTTATGGGTGAATACTTAATGGTAACATCGTTGATTTCGAATCTGTTACAGTATCTGCTGCTACTGCAACTGCTGTAGCTGTATGATATCTACTGTAGCTGTAGCTGTAACTACTGTAGCTGTAACTGTAACTCAGACTGCAACTGTAACTGTAACTACAACCGATTATGTTTTATATTGCCTAAAGTATAGATAATACCAAGTTATTTTTTTATGCTACCAGAAAATTACCGGGAAAGYTAAAACTGTGCTCATGTTTTAGAGTAATTCAATTCAGTTTAAATTTCAAAATATGAATAATTTTTGTATTATTATTTGGTTATATTAAAATTATTAAAAATTATTACAAACACAAATTAAATTATGAAATACACTTTTTTTCTTTCTAATTTTGCAAACTATATTTCATAATAACGTCAGCTTCTGAACGTCAGTTTTAGAAGTAATATTCTCTCCATCAACTCTCGTCAACTCACGGATATTTCCGCCTATGAGATCAACGTTTGCATTGCAGCAGCAAGTTGTGACTATTAGTTATCAATTGCAATTCACGTACATTGGTCTACATTCCGTCATTCAAAGTTCACCATGAAATCAGGTCTTCAGCTACAAGCTAGCTGTAGTAGTAGTATCGTAGTCGATCCATACATTCAGCTATTATAAGTTATGGTAAATTAACATTTCTCTTTAGTTGTTTGCACGTTTTCTGCGTGACTCCCAATATGTAACGCGTGACTCGTGAGTTATAAATGATTTGTTGAAATTTTTCTGCTGTAACACGTTATTCACTCTTCAGAACATGTCTTGAACTGCAGCCAATTTTAAGCATTTGAAACAAAATGGTACTCGTATACAAGATGTATAGGTTTACCATCTATTATACAGCATTTTTCACTACAATGTGTATTTCAGGTAAGAAGATGGTTGGTAAATGAGTTGGAGCCAAAATTCTAAAAGTAGATCAAATGAATGCGATAACAATTAGGTATAATATAGCCACCCGCWAGTAAAAGTAAATTGTTGAGTATTCGTACTAATTGCCTGCCCACGGACGTTCATAAATCAGTTCAATATCTCATTTACGTTCATTTGTGGGTGCTTTTCAATAATTCAGAAAATTGGATTGCAGATGATTTATCGATATCTATAAAGACAAACATTTTCTTCCAGACTAATGTGATACTGCCATCATTGTCTTCAGCTACTTTGACCTCATTTATTATGGAAGAGAGTTGGATTTCGTCTACTGCTTACTTAACCTTGTCTTTGATTATGAAAAGTGTTATTAATGTTTTCGGTCCATTTCATACATTTCTATACCTTTCTATACTTATGAATATTTTAAACAGTTTTCAGCGCTTCAGATGAATTTTTGCTTGCATGAATGATTCAAGTGATTGTTCGGTCTACTGCAGCTTGATCTATTTTTGCATTTCGTTATAGATAACAAAATATTCAAAACACGCAGTGACTTGTTCAGATTGTAAAGACTAAAAACTAAAACTTTAACTCGCTAACCGACCGA